ATACAATTATCTGTGTGGGAATTTTTTCTTTACCGCTGAATGTATTTATTATTATCTGTGAGCATGAGTGTGTGTGTTGCCACTTACAGTACCTAAATGTGTGCGCATAAACTATGCACTTGCACAGTTTGAGTGCAAGCATTTGTACTCTCACCTAACGTCGGTTTCCAAGAGTTTGCCTCAGTGAGAATATAAAACGCCATGAACAGTTGCGTCTGCATATGGGCAAAGTCATGCACACATTGGTCTTTCACTGCAGATTGATGGGAATGAAATATTCCTTAATCTAAATGTAAATGGAAGTGAAATTTACCGGTGGGTTCTATGTAATTACCACTGCCACAATTTATTATACTTGTGTTTGTGTAAGGTGGAGAGCAAGAAAAGGAGAATATGAGAGACAGAAAAACGGAATTGGAGTGGTGGAGAAAATAAAGAGAAGAAATTCGAAGGCCTGTGGAAGGCCTATCAGAATGACAGAAAAAGAAAGGGGAATGATTTATATTTAGGTATGGTTTCATGCTTGAGCAAAGTAGGTGTAGACTCATGCTTAAGCGAGAGAGAATAGGAAATAAGAAGCTAGTCAAATCTCTTCAAAAGCGCCCACTGAGACAGAACCCCGAAAAAAGGAGGGGAGGGTAAAATATGGGACAAGGGCCAGACTTTGGTTTGGCTGAGCTGACAACCTGACTTAGATGCGGACCTGATATCATGGGCGGTGGTCAATTAGTCACTCTCTGGTAAAGGATGATATGTGTGATATATGGTCAGAGTATGAGTAGTGTTCTGTCCTGACTTGAACCCTGCTGGCCCCGCAGTCGATGTGAAATCATGTCAGAGGCAGATGCACTAAGAAAGATAGGCATCATTAAGGTGTGCTGCTGTTCCAATGCTATTAATGAGACCACAACTCTCACTCATACATATTTGTAGAAAGTGTGTACGTTTATTTGCGCATATTTTTCATTTAGTTTCTCACTGCGCGTTTGCATCTGTATTTGCATACGTTCGCTCAAGCTCCTTCTGCCATGTTCCGGTGGGTAAAAGTTTGAAGATGTAGTTTTTAATGCACTTCACCAGAAATTCATTTCACATATCTCACAAAATCCTCCCAGCACCTCCACTGGAAGCTAATTAGCATATATTCTCCTGCAGATGAAAGTAATGGCCTTAGAGTTAGCACTGATATAGACATACACAAAACCAAATCCAGAATGGGTCGTTATCTGTCCTGAGTGTGTGTCTGCTCGGACACACATCCATTGGCTTCCCGGCCCGTTTTGTAAATTTCTCTCCTTTTGTTATTTGTGTTTGCAAGTCACTGCATGTGTGCCATGAACTTTTACTGCATCGATCAACCCCATACCTGTTCGGCATTGTGGAGCCCTATTCAAAATGCTATTCACTACATCAAAAGATGCTGCTGTGTCTGGCTGCCTGAAAGCACATGAATATGTTTCTCTTGTTTGCGACAGTAGAGAGTTGTTTAGAATGGCACTTAGGTTATTTATTGGAATATCAGTGGTACTGTGTAAATAATACATAAGGTCTGTTGATGGGTCGTTGCTTCGTCCCAGAGGACAGTGTGAAACACACGGAGGAAGCACACACGGCCAATTTCAGTCAAACAGGGGAGCACACTCAAGAGTCCTCTCATCTACAGTTATTGTACTTCAAAGCAATGACAGTTAAGATTAAATGCGATGTTAGGGAGCGCAGAGGCTGCGCCACCCCACATCAGTAATTGTATAGGTGGAGAGGAGAAAAGGGGGGTTAGAACAGAGTGGAGTGAGTAAGGAGGACAGCTATCATAGCGGTCCAAGCTGATTTGGAGAAGCCCTTATCGGGCCTGGCTTGGTGCCCCTCTGCGCTTGGCTGCAAGCCACGCCAAAGAATGCCTAGTAGGGTCAGAGGAAGTGAGGTCATGTGAATCACGGACACACTTAAAGATCCACTTGGCAGCAAATGGTGAATTCATCACTGAAGGTCAGACATCCACCACCTAAGAGAGAAAGACTGGCGTTTTGCTGCACTAGAAAGCGATAGAAAGGGTCTATAAGGGAAGACAGGGAGTACAGAAGGAACGAGAGAAACAATTTCCATCTTTCTTTCTGTTGTTCTTTCGAAACAGAGAAGTGCAGCTGGTGCAGAGAGCAGTATGTTGCAGTAACATATAGCCCACCAAGGGAGCTTTATAGTGTTGTTCTTATGCTTGTGCTTAAAAGGAGAGATGCCATGCAGATAAACAGCAGCTGCTCCTCTATTCATTTTGTCCTTTCTTCCATCCAGATGCACGCACAAACACATTTTAATCTCAACAAAAGAACTGTATTTCTCAGAGAATTCAGCGCAAGCTTGTATCTGTGTATCTTAGCTCTGGAGTGTGTCATCCCAGTGGTGAAAGCTTTTGGAGCCAGAGGACCAGTACAGTGACCCGACTCAGCCTGCTTTAATCTAATCAGTCTCTTCAACTTCCTAATAGGCTGGTTTCCCAACAGTCTGCTCCACTGGGACAGATGCTGCTTTTATCTGTTGTACGGCTGTTTACTGATCAGGGGTCAGGAAGCTGCCTCACTGTACAAGAAACCAAAGCTCCATCACAGCACATTACATCCAGGCTTACAGTGATTAATGTGCTAGGGTTTCCACTTCTGTGTTTACTCTATGCACAAGCGTGTGTGTGTGTATGTTTGTGCGTGGCCTTTAATGTGCATGGCTGGGTCTATCAGCTGGACTTTAATCTAATCTGGTAGCAACCCTGCCACGGTGACCTGTAATGATTTAGAGCTGACCCCATCTCTCTAACTCAATACACTCGTTTCCACTCAGCTGCAGCGTGCATTTGTGTGTATGTGTATAAGTGTAAGATCAAGCTTGCTTATTTGTCAACGGCCTTGTGTCATAATGCCCCCTTAATCTCACCCCTCACATGCTCAGTCATCGATCTTCTCATTCATACACTTGAGTTCAAAAGCAGCTCACACATAGCCACTGTTATTCTCTGTCTTTCTCTTCCGTTTACCTCTTGACCTTCAGTTTGAGTTTATGGGAATAACCTCCAATCCTGTAAACAGGCCACAGCCACCCCCACCCCCCCCCTCCCACACACACACACACACACACATACACACACATACACACACACAAACGTACATGGGTACACACAGATAATGGTTATTGGATTCATAACTGGGGAGACTCCTATCCTCATGCTCTCTGTGCAAGATGAGAGGCGGTGAAATGAAATTCTCCCACAGCAAAGCTCTGCTCTTACCTGGGATTTAGAAAAGCTCTTGTAGGGCTCTCTCTCTTTCTCTCTCTCGCTCTCTCTCTCTCACACACACACCTCAAGGCTAGAAGAGGAAGTACATCCAAAGACTGAGAAAAAGAGTGGAAAATAAGCAGAGAGAGCAAATGAGAGTCAGGGAGACATCGAGGGATTACAATGAGGCAAACTGGGAATGGTAGCGGTATGACAGGGAGGGGAAAAGAATCTAGGAAGATACTCAAAAAAACATGAAGTGAACTGAGTGTCAGACAAAATTGATCTGTCTATCTAAGAGGCTGAAAAGAGCCACCCTAGGTGACCAAGAATGGTCCAGGGACTAAGAGGAAGAAAGAAAAAAATAGCACCAGGGAACTTAGTCTTTGGCTACTCTTTCACCCTCCAAAAAAAAAAACACAAAATAGTCAAATCTTTTAAGATTTTTCCTCAAAACGATGTTAAAAACACCCCTTGTGAGTTTGCTGTTGTCATAACTAGAAAATAAAAAAGATTATTTCACAATGTAAAATAACCTACATCCTCAGAAAAAAAAACAGGAAAAGAAAAACGCCCTGCAAAAAGAGCTGCTGTAACCCTGCAGCAACCCAGTTCATTTTATACCTAAAAGAAACTGAAACATTACATATGCAGTTTTATTTCAACCTGTGATCAGTTATACTTCAAAAGAATCAGTCTTCTGAGGTAACATGCAAACATGAATAGTGACAAAAACACAATTTGTGGTTGTCATAATTACAGCAGTACAGTGCATAACTCAAGGAACGGTTCTCTTAAGAATCATGCATTGATTAAATTGAGACCACGGCAAGACAGTGAATCTCTCAATAACCTGCCCAAAGCAATTAAATGGCTGCCATGACTGTGTCCATAAAATACTGTGTTTCTTTCACACACTCTCAGAAATAGAGGTACGAGAGAAGAACATTTTTGTACCTATAGGTACATTTTTTTAAAATGTTCCCTTAAAAGTACAATACTGGTCTTTAAAAGTCCAGAAATGCCCCTTTAAAGGTTCAATTTTAAATAAAGTACAAATCTGTACCATTTTGACCTGTACTGCAGTGACAGTGGCAGAATGTGGTAATGGGTCAGCATGGGAAAATCTGGATGGGCCTGGTTAATTGTAAAATTCATATGAGATTTGAGTGTGCTCATAAAAGCTACATGTTATAATCAAATCTGTTGGTCCTCTCCTCTGTACGTAAATTATCCTATGATGCAAAGAATATCTGTAACCTACCTTTGTGTAAGTTATGTTAAATTATATTAAAAAACACACACACAATGACATGCAGGCACAACCAAATGATGTTAAAAAAAACTGGTCCATTTCCATTTTATTAAGTTCCAGTTATAATTTTTTATGTTTTAAATCTTTCAAAAACGTGAAATCATTTTACTGTTATGTTTGGCCATTTACTTTTTTGCTTTTACTACATCCTAGAATTGTTCATTAATTGTCAGGTTTTTATGGAATTTGCAACATCAAGTTAAACCGAGGTTCTTTGGAAGTTAAAATGTCAAGCAGATTTTTATGTTACGGTGACTACATTTTGTAAGTTACAAATATAGTTCGCCAAGACAGCATAACGGTTTCTAAACAACTGCGCATTAATACCACAATGTTGTATTTTCATGTATCAAGTTCGAAACGCGCATTTATCCCAGAGGCCGAAAAGGCAGCAGTGATGAGTGCTCCGCCTCCGCGCTGAAAATGACTCTCAGGGGGTTATCAACGGAGGAGCTCCTTAAAAAGTTGATGGAAGAAGGCATTGATGTGTCAGACGACGAGGCGCAAAGATTTAGAGGTAAGTCGGGTGTGATTTTGTGTTTTTATAAAAATTACAACGTGTAATTTTACAGTAGAGTTAGCAAAAGTCCGAAGAGCTAGATTTAACATGGGCGAAAGCTAGCAGTTAGCTAAGTTTTAAACAAAGAAAAGGTACAAATGTGGACTATTTAGACTGTTGGTGGAATGTTCAACGTCTGTCTGCCCGCCGTATTCGAGTGTTTTATCAATAAATAGTGACTAACCGTGTACAACAATGTAAAAAAATCAATAATTTCTCAAAACATGCTAGAATGTAAATATAGCTATTAACAAAATCGTTTTCTAAGCAAACTTTATGGCATCTAACTTGTTTCCCGCTCAAAGGGATTTTAAACAATGGAAGGTACACATTTGTACCATTCCACCTACTTAGTGGGATTTTCGAATATGAGAGCTGTAAGATCTGCGCAGGGACACTTACACTTACTTACATTTTTATATTACCAGTTAATTTATATTAACAATTAATCAAGAGAAATAATTGTAACTTCCTTTTGGGGAATATAGACAGATTCACAATGATAGCTTATTGTTGTTATTATTATTATTATTATTATTATTATGTATTGACCATAATGTCACTTTAAAACTAAATTTGAAAATGGTTTTATTTTTATTTCATACTGTACTTTATATTTCAGATAATGATGTAGATGGAGAGACGGTAGACTGTGGACTCACTGAGACCATGGTTGCATATCTTTTTGACAAGTCTTTCAAAAAGCAGCTGAAGTTCAGAAACTTCACAAACCGCTACAAGGAAGTCATCATCACTTTACAACCGGTCGACCCATTTGAAGGTACAGTTGAAGGTCCAGTGTCCCAAGCAAACCAGAGGTAGGTTGTGATAAATGTCTAAATTTGCATATGCATTTAAGTGCTTGCAAAATGGCTAGTGAATGCTGTTTTCCTACTGTATTGCAGTTCTATACCTTCTTGCCGTAGACTGCCTGCAGTTATTTCCATTCCAAAATTCCCACAAGATGTCCAGAGTCGCTTGGATCTCAAAGAACCAGTCCAGAAAGAACAGAAGTACCGAAACAAAATAATTGGGACTCTTTATGAAATGCTGTCACAGTACACAATGTAAGGGTTCCTTTCTGAATAATTACATTAATTTCTTAATATTAATATTGCTGTTGTACGAGAGGCAGAGAACAAATGCTTAGCCCATCTGCCTCCCAATCTGGAGACCAGCGTTCGAGTCTGGCGTGACACACGGTTCCAATGAACTGGCAATAGTGGTAAAACCATACATCCTGTGTCTCCAGACCTTGTCTGGACTATGATATCCAAAGTGTTCATTTTCGAATTTACTCAAGAGTAAATTAATAATTCAGGACTGCAGTCAATTAATTAATGAAGTTTCGGAGAGGTGTGGCTGTTTGTCCACGCCCATTTAAAAAAAATTAAAATCAACTTTAGCTACATTGATTTGACATTGGTCTATAACATAACTATTTACGGTAATAACAATATGATTAGAAGAATTGAAGAACAGAAAAGCCCCCAGGAAAGGATAAGAGTAATCAGTGTACTGTGGGTTGTTTTTCTTATGTTTGAAACAGGTACCCAACCCACTCAGACTACATCCAGGTCATCAAAGCCCTGATTGTGAAGTATCCTTTCTTAAGAGATGTACACGGAAATGGTTATGTGAGTACCTCTCCTTTTTTGTTTCGTTTATAGATTATATTAATATAAAGTAAGCATAATTAACTATTTATATACATTTGAAACAACTAGGACACCTGGCACAGCCAACTCAAGAGAAAGTTCAAAGCAGAACGGGCTCCCCTAATCAGCAACGAAGAAGTGAACCGGGTTAAAGAAAAGTTTGGACGCACGCAGAAACATCGGACCACAGAGGAATCCAGCAGCTCCTGTCTGAAGAGACTGAAGCCCTCTCTCGTAAGTCCTCACACCCTCAGCCTCTAAGAGCTAAGGTAACATATGTAGTCTTATTATGTTCACTGTAAAGCTAAAAGTAAACATTAATTGAAAGAAACATGTTAACAGATAACATTAACATAGAACAAGGAACTTCACAGTTGATTTAACAAAAGTCAGCTCAACTTGCAATTCCTATTCAACATTTTTGCATTTTTTTCAAAGCATTTGGTGTACAAATTACCGCATTTCGAGTAACATTAACTTATCAGATTTTACTTATGATAATACTGATATCTGCTTTGACAAAGGATTCGTGCTTTGTGGGGGAAGATGCAGCCTCCGTTGATGCTCATATCAAGGTGCTAAATGATCAGCACAAGAAGCTACATCCTAACACAGCACTGGTGAAAGACCGCATGACAAAAACCTTTGCATGGAGACGTAGAGAGGTAGCTGAAGGAATGTGTACTGTGGACCTATTAAAGAGATATCCATTCCTGGGGACATCTGCAGGGGTAAGAATTGTTAAGATGATTGGGGAAACAGCTAATGATTTTTTTGTCTCTAAATCTGATTATTATTTTCTGTACTAACTGATTAATCAATCTGTTCATTATCTTTAGAATTTTTGTTCAAGGGTTAAAGCACTTTACATTCATCTCCAGTCTGTGTCTTTAAACATGTCAAAAGTTTAAATCCTCAATGTAAAATGTCATTCTTTTGTCTATTCTGCTCTTTTCATTTCCAGTTGTGTGATGAGGTTGATTTAATGCATCCCTGCCAAGACAACATCTGTCGCCGCTTTAGCGAAAACTTCACTGCTGTTCTTCAAAATGTTCTTCAAATGACCAAGGATTTGCCACTGAAGAAGGTCTACATGGAGGCAAGAGAGAATGCACTGGCTGAAGACATTACAGGTGCTAATTTGACCTCATACAAATAGTAAATTTTGTGACAATTCATTTGCTCTCTCTTCCAAAGATAATTGATGTACCATAGTGCCATGTGAAGAGCATGTTAATGGGAATTTGCATGCTATCAAAATCTAATGAAGTGCATTTGCATCTGTATGACCTAGGAATTGACTTCAAGGGGGCACTTCTCCTCTTGCCATCCATCTTCAAGGAGAAGATAGAAGATTTCATCATCCTTGGAGAGGTAAATGCATGATGCAATGCATAGCCTTTGGCCACAAGTTTCATTCTCGGTGTTTTGTTGGCATGGAGCTGAATTCAGCTGCGGTTCAGCATCACAACTAAGCTAATGTAGAGGAAACACTGCTGTTAATCCACAGTGCTGCTGTGCTCTTGGGTTTTGTCTGGTGTTTATATAGATAGATAGACCTTTATTGTCCCCTTAGGGAAATTCTTCTTCACAGGTACTGTCACTGTCAGGGGTGATTGCTTTTGCCCTTGAATATTATGTCAAACTTTAGCAGCTTATCAAACACTACCACAACAGTCGTTGGTCAAGAAGCTTTTGTTTGGAGTAGGGGCCATGTTTACAGGTTATCAGAATAGACAGTTTTGTTTTGCAGCAAAAAAAGAAGGTAATTTGAGGAATCTGTTGAAAATCCACTTGGCACATATTAAACATACTGTATACTAATGTTTTTCTTCCTCTTCTGCAGAATACTCCCATGAGTCCATACCCAACCATTCGAATGAAGGATAAGAGTTGGACAACTGCCCTCTCAAGACAGTGTCGCTGTGTTGTCACAGTTGAAGGAGTGGATGTTTGCTCATGCTGCTCGCTGGATGAGGCCTACATCTCAGCATTCTCCACCTTCTTCGTGTTCAACATGACCTACCCTGCATACTTCAAGAAAACACTTGTCTTTCTTCAGAACTGCATTGTCAACATAGGAGACCAGGGAGACAAACCCCTGCCAGTAAGTGTCACCAGGGTACTTAACCAACTCTATTAAATATGCCCCCACTCCACAAATGTTCAAAATGTTCAAAAAGGGCATTTACTCTGAGGAAGTTGATTATACATGTTGGGTTAGTACACGCACATGAGCCTCATTTCAGCATCACTTGTGGAATAAATGACTGCCAGGCAGCTTTTTCCAAGTATCACTCTTTTCAACGCCATGTGTGATCCGTCAAAACATTGTGTTCAGGTGTTTAATGTCTTTATGTGATTGTTTACTTTTTTTAAATGAATGTATTTTTCTTAACATGTCCTATGGCAATGTATGAATGTAATCAAGGATGTATTCCTGTGGTTGTTTAAATGCTTTGATGTGATTCTATTATCGAAAATAAATAGTTAAATAACCAAATATTTTGGACTATTGGGGTACATTTTTGTCTCTTTAGGTACGAAATAGGTTGTCGCTGGGGGGGTACCCTCATAGGTACCCTATTGTACCCTTTTCAAGGGAACATTTCTGTACTATAGTTTGAAGGTACATTTATGTCTTAGGAAAGTACATGATTGTACTTCAGATGGTACAACTTCATAAGGTACAAAAATGTACCAAGCCTAAAGGGTACAGAAATGTCCTTCAAAAAGGAACACCCCCAGCGACAAGCATTTGTACCCTTTTTGGTACACTTTGGTACCCCTATTTCTGAGAGTGCAGATCATCTTTTCTGTGTTGTTAAGCGGAGTTATTAAATCGGAGAAATGATTTGTGTTGATGGAGTAAGTGTGGCTGGAAGAATCCTGTGCAGGATTTCATGGAGTTACTATTTTAATTATGTCAGAGCAGGGAGAACAGAGATGAGGTCTCAGCGGCCCTCTTGCTCTTCTGTGCAATCGGTCTATCTTTTAATTATCCACCACTCCTGTATGGAAAGCAGAGGGTTGCTGTGGAAAGGCGGAGATAGGAGGGGGCTTCTATTCTCTCATCAACTGCCTGATAGAGTAGTGTGATGACTTAACGATTGATTCCCCTTTCTCCCTCTCTCTCTCTCTCTCTCTCTCTCTCTCTCTCTCACACACACACACACACACACACACACACACACACACCACATATCTATCTTTCATGTGTCTTTTATTGCAGTGGCGGAATAATCTTTGTCATTTTAAAAACATCTCTCCCAAATATTCACAGTATAAAATCACCTTTGCATACTTTATACTTATGGGGGGATCCTGAAGTTGAAAGCAGAAGAAAATAACATGACCTAAAACTTCAGGAACAAAGTGTTGGTATAGTATGGGGGAAAAAAAAAAAGGAAAATACCGACCTGATAGGGCAAAGACCCGAGGGGCAAGCACGAGGGGCACATGAAGAATGTTGAACGCACCTTCAAACAACAATCTCCAAACAGCTAAATCTCTGTTACAAGGATACAGTGAAGGAAAGCATTATGAAATCTGTCACCAAACCATGACTCACTCTCAGCAACCTGATATTTAACTTGACCCACGAGTCACTGCAGCTTATTCACCGCTCTCCCTATAAAAGAAGGCCCGCCTTTTAATGGCTGCCAAAGCAGATGATCTTAAAGGACAACACCACTGTTTTTTTTTTTAATTAAATATTTTATATTTACATGAAAGTAAATAACATTTTGCAAATGTTGCTGTTGTTGTTTGGGGGGTGAGAGTGTCATAGTTCTTTTCATTTTTTAATAATATGATAATTAATAAGCAGACACCTGAAATGTATCGAGTTTTCTAATCCATCACCTTGAACATCACGTTGACACAATTTTTTCTCTTTGTCATTGACTGGTATTTTCATTTACATGCAAATCAGAGGAGAAGAGCCTGTGATGCATTATCACGCTTTTGTAGGTTCTGCAAAAATAGTGCTGAATTAGTGCTTACAGTGATGGATTACACAATTCCTGAGACTGTACTAAGTAATCGTCATCCCTAACTGCTTTGAATAGGGCGTGGTAAGCAACCCAAATGATGATGATAATGATTATTATCATTATCTGTTTCAGAGCACTCCTTCCCATTTAGAATTTCAAAACATTTTAATTTTAGTTGATTGCTCCATCATACATATTCATTCACTGATTCAAAATAAGTTTGCGTTTTTAATGATCGTGGACTAATTGTGACGCAATCGTGCCACTATGTTGAAGTTACAATTTAGCCAGTTGAGAGTTTAGATTTTTCAGCCAACAACTATTCAATGTCTAAATATTTTCTGGGTTTGATGGCTGGCAGATTTCCACAGTCACCTGTAGTTTGATGACTTGTCTGCAAATACTCGCCAATTAATTGCAGAACCCTAGTGAAACTATAGAAAGTGTGAAACAAAGTTTTTTGCTGTGGCGCTAAGGCAAAACGTAATTTTTCCCCCACACTTTCAAGTTTTAAAAGCACTTGGCTACTAGTTAGACACTGTTTGCAGGATTACAATACAAACTATGGGTCACTTCAGCAATCTGCCAGTGTCGAAAGTTACATTGAAGGTGCAGCAGTCTCTTTGTGAACATCTCCCTTCATCTCCCCAAGAAACCACTTGCCACCTGGTCAAGGAATGCACATTTTTCCCTAGCCACCGACAGCTACAACTCTTGGACAATGCGTGTTATGACATCACGAGAAACCGCTTCATACAGGAGAAAAAAAATGTCAACAGAAGGACAAAGCTTGTAGCAGCAAAATCACTTTCATTCTTTTACTGCACTGCTGTCAAACTCATGTTTCTTAATTTACAACAACCCTTTGTGATCTCAAATGGGCAGTTTCAGTTTTACAACAGGGCAATAGCCCTAATCAAAGCTAGCAGCTTACCTGATTGGCTACCTCCCTCGACTTTTTGATGGGGGCAATAACAAGAACAACAAAGACAACAACAACAATAATAGTAATAATGTGCAATAAACATACACTCATTCTTTTTATTTATTAAGTTAAGTTACTGTGTTGTGTTGTGCGTAATGCCGACGTGGGACAGTACTAGGTATGACTGTGCAATGACAATAAAAACTTATCTTCAGAGAAACTACTAAGAAAACCCCCAAACTGATTATAAAAAAACTTCTAAATTTGACTGTTTCTTTTAGAGTAAAGTAGCACATTTTAATGAACCATCCATTTATAAAAACAGATGGTACCCCTACCCCATGTTCCTCCTTACACATTAGGGGGATCTATCTGGTCTGACAGCTGCTGACAATCCTCATTAATACCAGCACCAAACTAATGACTCAGGCCTAAGTTGTTGCTCACCTTCTATTCTTCATTCTCTATCATTAAACACTGTCTAGTTGTTTTTGACATTGTGGTCCTTACCTAGTGAAGTGCAGTTTGCATTCGGTTAATCTATTACAATCACAAAGCTACTGTTGTAACTCAGAGAAACTTGTTGGCATCGCCTCTTTGCAGAAGTGTCTTACTCTGGGGCAGGGCAGGCCATAGGTCATGTCTTTGTCAGTAGGAAGGCCATAAAGCTGACAATGATCAGACCTCTGGCTCAGATTAAAATAATAGTGCAGACATGACGTGATCTATTCTTTACGACAT